GGGTTTTTTTTTTTTTTTTTTTTTTTTTTCTGATTGCCGTTACTAATAGAATTGTTTGTTATTGTAAAAATTTAGTTGTGTAGCTAAATAATGGACATTGTTTCTGGTGAAATCCGAAGTTCTTGATTTATTGCAGGCCTATCTTTTTGTTGACCATGTCCCATCATTATGTTGGTTATGCGGAAGTTGTAAATGAAATGGAAGATGTAGACAATGATATGGATGATGAGTCCCGTGGCAGAGATTTTAGTGGCTCAGACTCTGATGTAAATGAATATGACTACATGGTTTGTTCAGAAGTTATACATGCAGACCAATCTTTTATGTCGCCCACAAGCTATCGAAGTGAATTATTTGTTTTTGCACTATTCTTCTCTGAGTGTTCCAATTTATCATGTCTGGTTGCTAACATTCTTCTATCTCTTTGCTATGTAGAACAATGGAAATCAAGATATTTCTGCTGCTCAAGTTAGGGGTGGCAGAGATATCCAAGGGATTCCCTGGGGACGTCTTGGCATAACAAGGGAGAGGTATAGGAAGAATAGATTAGAACAATACAAGAATTATGAAAACATACCTCGGTCTGGAGAGGGATTGGAGAAGGTAAAAAGTTTTGTTGTTCTGTTGTTCCTTCGACTATTTCATCTCTGCTTTTTTTATTCTTTTGTGCTCGTATTTGCTAATATTTAATTTGATGCCTTCTCCTTTTTTGTTTTAGGAATGCAAAATCACAAAGAGAGGGAACTCATATTATGAATTCAGGCGCAATTCGATGTCCGTGAAGTCGACAATTTTGCATTTCCAGGTCTGTAACAATTTTTAGCAGTGAAGTTATTTCATCTAGTGACCAGATTGTGCTTTGTCTCTCTATTCTTCTTTCGTTATTGGATATGTTAAATTGGATTTTTAATAGTCAGAAGTCTTCCTCTCAATTCCTTAACTAGAGCAATACAGTTATTGCTCAATAGTCTCTGTTAATCGAAAGTGGAATTCATCCTGTGTTTTTTCCTTTCCATTCACTCGGATTTCTTCCGTTTCATCGATTTTGT